ATCTTAGGCCACCAAAACATCTTCTTAAGGTCTTGGTACATCTTAGTGGTTCCTGGATGGATACTAAGGATACTTTTATGACCTTCTTCTAGGATTGCTCTCTTAAGCTCTGGCACACTAGGAATGCACAACCTATTCTTAAATTTCAACACTCCATCCATTTCAAATCTAAACCCACTCTCTACACCTTGATTCAACTTCTCTACTTGACTTAATAAGAAAGGATCTACCTTCTGACCTTCTTTAATCTCATCTATCAAGCTATTAATCACTCTCAAACTCCCAACTTAATACTCTTAGAGGTCAACTCACACCCTAAACTCATATCCCTAAACTCCTCAATCATATGCAATTCCCTAACCATCAAAGAAGACATTCTCAAAGATTTTCTACTTAAAGGGTTAGCTACAACATTAGCCTTACCGAGGTGATAATTCAATTGGAAGTCATAATCTTTAAGAAATTCTAACCATCTCCTCTACTTCTTTTTTCACCTTAGACCATCACGTTCTCGCTGCGCCACTCTGATACATTTTAGTAACTCCTAAATGAATGCAAAAAGTACTCTTATGTATTTTTTCTAAGATCATCTTCCTTAATTTGGGTTTACTAAGCACATAGATTCTATCCTTGAACCCAAAAAACCATCAACTTCCACTCGTAAAAGGGCCACTTATATCCCTACCAATCTTTTTCACTTGGGTTACTAAGAAAGGATCTAACTCCTGGGTCTTCTAATCTCATCCATTAATCTATTAGTCCTTTAAACATATTCAATTCAATGTTCTTAAGGGTGAGGAGGCTCTTTCTGAAAAACGCCTGCCCCTCTACTCTTTCTTTTCCACGTGGCTCAGCTGCCACATCACCCACATAAGGCGCCTGGCAGAGGCTCTTTCTAAAAAACACCCACCCCGTGCGTTTTCTCATCCACGTGACTTTCTATGTGACAAAAACTACCTACTTTAGTAAATTGTTTTTTTTTATTTCGTGTATTTTTTATTTATTTTTAATTATTGGGTCAAAAAGCCGGACTAGGCCACTTAACCTAACCGGCCATTTTTGAGTGGTTTGAGGGTCGACTCACCAAACCAACTTATTTTGCTATTCCCGTGTGTACCTCCATGTAACTAACATATACATTTAAAACTTTGAAAGTTATTATGAATATGACATGTATAGGGATGACAATAGGATAAGGTAAGGCATAGCCCCTTCTCGCATGTCTTATTTATTGTAGAAATTCATTAATTATATTTGTGTAGCCCCTTCTCTTATTGTAGAAATTCATTAATTATATTTGTGTGTGTGTGAATATTTGTTAAAATATAAAGTTTTAAATAAAAAATAAGAAATAAAATACAACTAAAAAATAAATAATTTTAAAACATATATTTATATTAAAAATAAGTTTTTAGCATATTTTGTACTTAAAAAAATAATTTTGACATAATTTATACTAAAAATTAGATAAGTCAAATTATTTTATATATAATTAAAAATATTTTTAATATTTTTAAACTAAGGTACTTGTAGGTATTGTTATCAGACTTAGCTCGGACTAGCCGACCTGATCGATTGACTTGGGAACTGACCACTAACCAACTTGAGTCGTCTAATAGATCAAGTGTGCTTTCAACCTGATATGATCATATTTGACTTGAAAGGTTTGGCCTAAAATTGATGACTTGTCTAGTTCGATTGACTTGATTGGGTTAATGCACAAACTTTTGTTTTAGTAATACGATGTCATTTTAATGAAAAACACAAATTAAAAAAAAAATTGATATGTATCTTGTGATGCTCTCAAACTCATTTAGTCACACTCTCCTCTCTCAAAGCACCCAAACAGCCAAACATCTCTCCTCTATTTGTGGCTTTCCTTTGTTCATTTGTCTTCGTCATTCGTTACTCTCCTTTGTTGCATAGTTCCAGCACCACACAATGCTTGTCATCTCTTTTATCTCGCAATTGCACACTTTGATAGCGGTAGTGCGACCTTGCTTGCTCTAGTGTGGTGCATTTCTCATCTCCTCATTGTATAACGACATAACCTTCAACATTCATCATCTCTCCTCATTATATAGCGGTGTGTTCGTCGTCTATAGGGGTGGGTATATGGACTAGTTAAACCCGTTTAAGGCCTGACCTTTAAAAAGTGTTTAAGTTCGACCCATAAAATAAATGAACTTATTTTCCAAGTTTGTATCCAGTCTGCCAAAATCCACGGATAAATGGACTGGTCCGCGAGTCTAAATAATGATTCAAAAAAATATATTTTTAAAAAATAAAATTGCATAAAATTAGAAGAAGAAAAAATCTTTTTTATTTATAAGCTAAATTTCATCACACTAACATTTATCAATAGTTAACATAGTTTAAAATACTAAATATTAAAATGTTAAAATAAAAATAATTACAAATACTTATGTAATAGTATCAAACTTTTATTAATAAAAGCATCAAAATGTCATAAAAATAATCCAAATGACAAATACATACCAACTAAACATAGTTTTAATGTCATAATAATATAAAAGATTAAATATACAACTTAATATTAAAGTCTTAATATCTAAAAATATTAATTAGTAAAGTCTACGGATTAGCCTGCGAATTAAATCTGCCAAGTCCGCAGATTTTACAAATTAGACTAAAAACATAATCATACGAATTTGAAAAAAAAATGTTATTTACGAAATCCACAAGCTTACGAATTGGTCCATGAATCTAAATCCATCTATCCACTCTTATTCTTCTACACACTACATGGTAACGTGACCCTATTCTAATACATAAGTTGTTAATTACATTTTAAATTTATTTATTGCTTATTAATTAGACTTGGTGGTGGTTGGTCTGTCGTTATTTGCTAGTGCTTGAAGTTCTAACTTGGTTGTGAATGTTAATTTTAAGACTAGACTTATGAAATTATGTTAATTTATATTGTGAATTTCTTTTAGATTAGTTAGGTGTGATTTAATTTTTTTTCAATACTTTATTAAGCATAAATTTTACAAATTATCAATTATTTATAATTTTTAATATATAACAACGAGTCATATAGATTAATTGGTGATTCAATGATTTAACATTTAATTCACTAACATAATATATACTATGACCCAATTAACATTATCTATAGGCAAGAGATTTAATTAAAAAATAATATTTTAATAAAATAAATATATATTTAAATTATTATATAAATAAAATATAGATTTGTACAAGAGATTTATTTATTTGATGTGCGTTAAATTTTTGAAGAAAATTAATTTTCTTATGTGATAAAAAATATTCCTTAATAACGAATCAAT